CCGCTTGGCAAGTTCTTCCGCTGACACGGCTCCTTTCCTGGTAGGGGGTTTCGTATTGGTAGCAGAGATCTGGGCTTGAAGGGCTGGCCAAAGACTGTTGACGTCAATCGCAACGGATGATCTTGATTCCAGAATTGAACTGATCGACTGAATTCTCCTATTCCGTCCCCTTTCACGTGTCATGTCCGAATCCAAAGCTGCTCTGAGAGAGGACTCGTGGTCAGCCGACTGGGGATATTGAGGGTTCCAAGGAGATTGGGATGTCATGTGAACGTGAACTAAGTGATCTGGAGAATTGACTTCATGGGCGATGGGCTTCCGGACTTGGAAGTATGAGATAACACCGTCCAGTTGGAGTGGGATTCGGAGGTAACCACAAATGATGGAGTGTGATTCATTGGTTCTGTCTTCAAACGGTAGGTGCAGCAGTGGCACATCGTTGACAACTATCTGGTGATGTTGCAGCTGAGCTGGACAAATGAGATTGTTCTGTAATGACATGATAAGCAAAGATTGATGGAAAAATAAAATATAAATTAGAGATGTGAGTGGGTCGTAATAAGCCACAGCCACAGTTACAATTTGTACTTCGTGTATGGTTCCATGATCAGTTGAAAACCCTTTATAGTCTCTCCCGTGTCAGGTACCACGTAAGCACTTTCCCCAAGGGAACATGTATCGGCATGGCTGTCAAGCTCAATCGGAGATGATGGCAAATGAGTAGCAACGGATCGCAAAGTGCGAACAGCAGAGACTCATGCACGCCTATTCATCGCATTGCACACGCTAGATCCGCCAGGAACATCAGTCCGGGATCGTTTCCCGGCTTGCAATTCCGAGACTTGGGACGGGGTAAATCTGTCATCTGTGTCTGCAGCTCGGCAATCTTTCGCTTGTCACCATCGCGGGCGTACCTAGCCTGTTGCTGCTGCGCAGATGTGAGCTGAGCCCACTCATCGGGATGGTAATATCTTCCTGGGTTATTGGGGTCAAACCCCGGCCTTCATGGCCTCGACCACGGCCTCGTCCCCTGCCTCCGGCCTCTGCCTTGCCTGGCCTTTGGATCTACCCGCCACGTCCTTCGTCTTCTTCCACCACCGCTCTCGACCACTGGCCAGACACATGATGAAATATTTCTTGTGGTTCGAGTGGGTTCAGCGACATCAATTGCTCGGCTAAGAATTCAATAGCCTCCTGGAAACTCTCGCGTAGATGCGGAGTCGCTTGAATGACGGACTTGGCGGTCTTGTAGGTTTGGTCTGTAATGCCGGACAGAAGCTTGCGAATCCTTGCGAGCTCTCAGTAAAGGATTCACCAGCGGTCGTTGACTTTTCTTTATGTTCATTTCTCTAGTATGGTGAAGGCCTGTGGTAAGCCTTTCACAGATACCGCTCAAAAGTGAAAAGTTGCGGACTTCCCATAAAGAAGTAGTTTCAATGGATCTATCGCGCGAATGCCTTGGTTCGAGCCTGGAAAGAATCACCAGATAGTGAAACTTCATGGCCAAGTAAGCTGCTCGGACAGTTCTGTTGCGCTGCGCAACGTTGGACCAATGTCCAACCAGGTCCACCGTGAGTAACCGACCGAATGATGGCCCAAACAGCCTGATTGTCTTGTACGAAATGAGAGTCCGGTCATGTCTTGTTCTTACGGAACAATTCTTCAGGATAGCGATTGAAGGCCAAAACCTGGGTCAGCCTCATCTGCAGTTTCAGGTATCAGGTGCTCCTGGAAAGTTGACTTTGGATCTCGAACATAAGCCAGAGGGGCACAGCAAACAGCCTCGCTTGACATTCAGAACTTGTCAATAGACTCCAGAACTCGTCGGACATACTTCGACCTTCACGAGTTGGGAGAGATCCGCAACATCAGATACTCTTCTCGTTCGGACTCGTATAAAGCCCAAACCCTATTCAATCTCGCCAAAATGGCTTGGTTGGAGGTGAGACTCACGCTGCGATCGTGTCTATGTGGAAACTTGTAGAACCGGGAGTTGTGCTGAGTTCGCTTCTAAAAGACAAATCCTCAGCTAGTCGTCCACGTGGAGAACTTACTGGGCTGAACTGCTGCGGCAGCTTCAGCAGTGGCTGCAGCCGCAATGGCTGGATTTGGAATGGTACCACCTGGTTTCCTCACGTTCTCGCAGATGCTCTTGATATCAGCATCGGTAAAGGTATCGAGTGAGACGAAGGCATCCAATCCTTGATCATTCAATGCTGTCCTCGTGGCTAATTCGGCAATACCGATGGTATTCTGTAGATAGTTGTTCATGGCTGCAAGATTGCCTGCCATATTCGCCTCCAATTACTTCTTCTCTTGCGGTATCACTTGGATGAGCAACAGTTGTTGGGTCTTCTTCTCTGCTCCTATTCCAACAGCAAACTGTACACACCCAGACAAGTAAGGCTGTATTCCACGGAATGAGCTCTGCACACCCAGTCTGTGGCAGTCTAGGCCAAAACTCTTGGATCAGGCGTCCCCTCTCCTTGGCTCAACCGGTTTCTTTGGTGACAATGAGGCAGGAATTGATCCAGACTGGAGGGATCAATATTCCAAGTCCAAACCTCTGCTTCCCACTTGGAAGTCTCTATCTCTCGCTCCACTTGAGAGTGCCCCTTCTTCTTGAGAGGTCTTCTGTTGCTATGCCGCTTGGTTCCTCTGCCAATGAGGATCTCTTCTTGTCGTTCTGTAGCTCCGAAACGGTAGCTTCGAATCGGCGACAATGGCGCTGCTTCGAAAGGAACGGTATCTTCACGTCGAACGGTAGCGTCGACACGTTCGAACGATTAACAGACTTCTTCTTCTTCTTCTCTATCTTCTCTATCTTCTCGACAATGGCGCTCGGACCACGGTAGCGTTGCGTCGAACAGTAGTTGTTCGAACGGTAGCTTCGAACGTTGCTTCGAACGGTAGCTTCGAGCGGTATCTTCGAACGGCCGAAAGGTAGCTTCGACAATGGCGTTCGTTCGTTCGAACGGTGCTTCTACCGTTCTTCCTCTTGTGCTTGTCGAACGACCGATCGTTGGGTAGTAGCTTCCACGCCTGATAAGCCGAAAAAGGCTGATGATGGTGTTGAAAAGAGGTTGCTATAGTGTTGTGTTACTACTTGGTAGTTGTTGTGTGGTTGATTTTAGTAATCTGGTAATCTGGTAACTGGATAGTCATAAATCGCTACCACAGGTCATTTTCGGACCAAAGGGATGTTGGTGGCTTTTGAGCGAAAGTCAATTGAGCCAGCAAGAATGCTATGACATGCGGACGTACGAGAAAGCTACCGTACCGTGACCCGTTCGAAAGATCCACAAGACTTGTTTTGACGTGCTTCTTTGGGGAGTTGTCAATAAAATCTTGGTGAGGCAAGTCTTGTACCGGATGAGAGATCCATATCCCTTGGTTTGCTTCAAGAGGATGGAAACAAACCAACTACGACGAGATGCCGTCATTGTTAAGGAGACAGGATAACAAAAGAGGAGCGATTATGAAGCGATCGAGAAAGAATGATGTGGCCATCGTGTTGTTCTTGATCTGCGGTGTCTTGGGCTTCCTGCTCTACTATCAGGAAGGCTCCATGATCCGCGTGTTTGGAGGGTCCACACCCGCCACAGCCAAGCCACCACCATTGGTGTCTGCTTGCACATCCTATCGAGAGTATCCATTTCCGAAACATCACACGGGGTTGCCCTACCTGGCAGATGCCTTTGCATCCCATAACGCCCAGTATGTTACCTTTGTCGGAATCAATCGAGGAAAATGCAGCGAAGAATGGAAGCTGGCCGACAGCTTTGCCACTTTTCATGACCCCGAATATCACCGATTCATGTGCATCTTCAAGAGTGGGAGTGGTAGCCGGACTCATGTGCTGAGTGACTTTATTCATTCTCCGGGATCGCATGACCCGATATATCTCATTCAATGCAAAATCCCAAAACAATTTCAGGAATTGATACTACCGGGGCAAGATACCACGACTTTGCATGTAGATCTCCATGCCATGGAAGATATGGAACTGCCCAAATTGGGACAGCACCACCAACGTCTGTACAACAGCACCGAGGTGGACCTGACTCCAGCCGTCCCCGACATTCCCATTTGTCACCCAGCTTTTCCCGCCGAGAAAAAGTTGAAAACCAAACAATTCAAGCTTGTGGGATACCTCCCCATCACGTCCAACTATGCACTGGATTCCCGCAAAGGAGAAGAAAATAAGACTCTGTGGTCCTCGGCACACCGACTACCGGAATGGATCGACTATCACAAGAGCCAGGGCTTTGATCATTTTATCATTTACGACAATGACAAGGAACCACAGGGTCCCATTGAACAGATTCTGCAACCCTACATTGCGTCGGGACTGGTCTCGTACCGCTGGTTTCCTCTCGAAAATTGCATGAGTCAAACCGAGCACCGACGTATGGATACAGCGCAAATCGCGGGATCCTTGGCGGCATTTCATCGGTTGGGCTTTACCACGCACTATTTCAGCTATCACGATGGCGACGAATACATGGTGCCGCTCCAAGACGGCAAGACTGTCGCTCAGATTGCCGAGGCTGCCATGGAACGGGATCCCACCCTGGACGCACTAGAGTGGCGTCCGACCGTCATGACACCCTGCAATGGGACCAAAGTCCAACCAGGGGGCAGCGTGTTGGCAAAATGGAAATGTCTCACAGACGAACACTATGCCGATGTCAAGCTTATTTTGCGAGTGTCCAGCATGTTTTACTTTTGCATCCATTATCCCGTCATAGCCGTCGGAGGAAGGCGGCCCAATGCGTACCGATTGAACGACACGAATGAAGGTTTCTTGGCGCATTATCGACCCGAAAATGATCCGGGAGGCACAAGACGGGACGAGTACAGTGGCCTCGTTTTGAATGACTATCACGACGAAGTTCACTACATGGATCACTTTCTCCAACAAAGACAATCCGTATAAAGGCAGGAGTCGAGTCATTCAAAACGCAGATGCCAAACCAGATTACAAAATCAACGGTGGCAGGAGGATGACCCCGTTCAATATAAATTGCCTGCTCAAGATAAATTCCCCACTTATTTTGCAGATAGAGCAGGTTTCCCACCCCCTTCGTTTCCGTCCTCGTCGTCTTCGTCGTCGCGGCGCCTCTTTGTCGGCTTCTTCTGGTCCTCGTGCTCCGCTTGCTTTGCTCGTTCGAGATTGCGCTTGCGCTGTTTCTTTTTGGCGTGCTTTCGGGCTTGTTCCACTTGCTTTCTTAGGGCTTGTTCCGCTTGCTTTCGGGCTTGTTCCACTTGCCTTCGGGCTTGTTCCGCTTGCCGTTCCACCTCTGCCAGCAAATCAGGGTCAAGAGCTTCGCTGTCGTCAGAAGCGGTGATATCGGAAAAGATGCTTGGGTGGTGAGAGCCGGCTACTTGCGCCATCCTGCAGGTTTCTGGAGTTACTTTGCTTCTATTGGAGACTGGCACTGTCGTCAACGAGCTCACACTGCTGCCATCATCAAAGATTCCACCGACGCTGTAGCAAGTGGGTTCCATGCCTACATGTACTGATCATAATAATCAGCTTTACGCTGTTGACACGCTGTTGTGGCTGCAGCTCTCGGATCCGCCGCCACCAGTGACTGTAACTCAGACCTTAAAAGGGGACCGCGACTGTTAGTTTTGTTCACGATCAAGTTTTCTCACCGGTACGGTACATCGTACGGTATTTCGAATCCGCCTGGCTTTTTAAAAAATACCTGTACAAGTACCGTACCAACGCAACGCGTACGGGAAGATCTTTGCCACGACCGGATCTTTGGTTGTGATCATGGGTCTTCAAGGATTTTGTGAGGGGTTCATGGGGTCGTTCGCGACGGCACTTTCGGGACGGCGGCATCTTACTTGTGACTGTGACCATCATTAATAAGCGCCAAAGTCTTGTACTAGTAACTTCTAGTAAGTAGTAAGTAGTCTAGTGGAGCGCGACTGGACTATGTCACTCGCGACTTTTAAAATAGATTTAGGCGAACCTGGAGCCTTCCGGGAGCGACAGAAAGTCGGTTCGGATTGATAGAAAGCTTTTCAAAAACTATTGCATTGGTCATTGGTCACTACCGGAACAGTACTACTAGTACTCTATGTCTCTTTGTAAGCTACCGGTTCAGGTGTACTTTCCTTTCCTTAAGCTTGAAATAAACAGTGTTGCTGGTTCAATTAATATTTCATGAAATAGTTCAATTAGGGTTCACGAACCGGTTCATGAAGCGCACATTCACGAAGTGGTTCATGGGGGGTTTGGGCCCTTCATGAACTAGGTTCAAGGTTCATCAAAATACACAATTTGGTGAACTTTTCCACATTTTTGGTTCATGTGAATTCTACACCACAAATGAGGCAACTCATGTCTAGTTAGCATAATTTTCCTGACTTGCAACACCACCTTCAGTCCAACGATCCACCGGCTACCACTTGTGCCAGGTTTGGTGACCCACTGTATTGACTTTTTGTTCTCAAATGTGAGCTTGCAGCCTGTATTTGATAACCATAACCCTGTATTTGCTAACCATAACCCTAGGATTTGGTTCATGAATGGGTTCATGAATAGGTTCATGAGGCTGCTCAAAATTGGGGTGTTCACGAGCTGGTTCAGTTCACGAGCATCATGTTACCCGAACTTTTGTCATGAACAAAGTTCACGTCTAAAATTAGTTGAACCAGCAACCCTGGAAATAAATACATACAATTATTTATTTGAGAAACTCAAAAGGCGTCGGGGAACACAGGAATCAGCAGCCGGACTAAGACACTTAGCTTTCACTTTCCTCCGAAACTGCTAAGCAACCAGCAAATAAATATACTACTCGTATTACGTATTACTATATGTAGTAATAATGATGCGGAAACTGGAGAACTACACCAGCAGCTACCAGCTCTAATGGCAATAAATTCACGCGACTTGTGATTCTATTGCCCCAGTTTCTGGGATTCCGCAACTAACTGTCATGAACAATGTCAAAAGACCACAGAGGGAAAAGCGCACAGTTATGAGAATGACCAGCACGAAGGGTTGAAAGAATGCTGGCTTCACCCCTATCCCGTAAAAGTACTGTACGACTATAGCTACTATTAATAGTAAAGTTGTAAAGTTTAGGGAAGTAGTACCAGTTTCATGTGATCATGTGGTACACAGGCGACAAGAGCACATTGAAAATGCACAGCGAAATAAAAAAGATATTGGATCTGTTCGGTCACAACTTCTGCTGTACATGCACTGTAAGCTACCGGTAGGATAATGATGGCATTGGTCACAAAAAACCCACTCCGTTTCCTAACACCTCTTTCTTCATCTTACTACCAACCTACAACACAAAGAAAACACACACATCTTGCTTCTATACCATGGTGACTGTGATGCACGATATCGATAATATCCGCGAGGAAGACAGCAACGTGTCTATTGGTGGCGGAGGCGACGAGGCGGAGGAGTCCACCACCATGCGCAATGACGACAAGCAGGAAACGGCGGCGGCGATTGGCAGTGCCGAGACGAATCGTGTGTGGCGGCTCAAGGGCGTGGTGACCATGGTGTTGGTCCTGGCGACGGTGGGCGTGGCCAGTGCCGTGTACCACTACACGCACCGCAGCGAACAGCGCCAATTTGAGGATCAATTTGCCGAATATGCCTTTAAAATCCTCGAAGCGATTGGCGTCGAATTGGATCAAGTCTTGGGGAGTTTGGACAGCATGGTGGTGGGCATTACGTCGCATACGCGGGCGTCCAATCAGACCTGGCCCAATGTGCAAATTCCTGACTTTGCCATTAAAGCTGCCAAGATTCGGGCCCTCAGCCATGTCCCCATTATCACCCTGTTGCCATTGGTCCAGAGTGGAGAAGAACGAACGAGTTGGGAGGCCTTTGCCGCGGCCAATGGACCAGCATGGGTCGACGACGCTTTGGCCGTGCAAGCGACGGACGAGGCCTTTTATGGACCCATGATTACCAATTACTCGGTCAATGATGTCGTCCACGGCAACTTTGGGGACATTGCCTACAATGAAACCCGCGACATGTTGCCCACGGCCCAGATATACCCCATGATCCCGGAGTATCCGCCCTACAATTGGGATTGGTTGTCCATTTTGTGGCCCGAGGGCTTGTATTACACGCTCGACACCAAACAGGTGGTACTGTCGGCCGCATGGATGTTGCCCGATCCAAACGATCCCATCCAGGTGGAGGAAATGGAGATCTGGGCCGATTGGTATTCCGACTACTTGGCGCCCGGATTGGCGCCCGACGAACCCATTTCCGACATTATGATGCCCATTTTCGACGACGGCGGTCAGTCGGTACGGATTGATACTGCCGAACACAAACCGGTGGGCATGTTGATGGGCAATTTGTATTGGCGGGATGTCATAAGGGACATTTTGCCCGAGGGAAGCTATGTGACGGTCGTCATGGAGAACCCCTGCAATCCCAGCTTCACCTACATGATCAAGGGGCCAAGGACCGAATATTTGGGCCGCGGTGATTTGCACCAGACCCAATACGATTCCATGAAGCAAAGCAGCAGCATTGCCGAGCTGGGGTCCTTTCGGGTCGACCAGCAACGCAGCATTTACTCGGGGCCGCCCGTCGATGACGAGTTCTGTCCCTTTACCGTTCACGTCTACCCGTCCTCCCTCATGGAAGACCAATACGTGACACATCTGCCTATCATCCTGACAGCGGTCGCCGTTGGAATCTTCCTCTTTACGTCGCTGGTCTTTTTGTGGTATGATTACACTGTGGAAACACGTCAAAAGGTTGTGCTCAAAACTGCGACGCAGTCGACGGCCGTTGTCGAGTCGTTGTTCCCCGAAGCCGTGCGAGATGCCTTGTACGAACAACAGCAACGACAAGACAATATCGGTTCCTCCAAGGAAGACGCCATGGTCGTTGGAAACCGTCCCGAGGGCGTTCTGAGGGAAAGCAAGACTCTGGCACCCAGTCCGATTGCCACCTTGTATAAAGAAACCACCATCATTTTTGCCGACCTGGTCGGCTTTACCAAATGGAGTGCGGCTCGGACTCCCTCGGAAGTCTTTATGCTGTTGGAAACCATCTATGGCGAATTTGATCGCATTGCCAGAGCAAAAGGGGTCTTCAAGGTTGAGACAATCGGTGACTCGTATGTGGCCGTGTGCGGTTTGCCCAAGCCCAACAAGAAGCATGCCATGGTCATGGTCAAGTTTGCCTCGTTGATTCGTGACAAGATGCGGCAGTGTACCCATGAATTGGCGGGGTCACTTGGCGAGGATACGGCCAACCTCAACCTGCGGATTGGGCTCAATAGTGGTGCCACCACTGCCGGAGTGCTGCGGGGCGAGAAGAGTCGGTTCCAGGTGCGTTGTAACTTGAATGCAGGAGTATGATAGAGGCAGATGTTCTTGATTTCGTTTCGTGGAAAGATTGCCAACCTCTTTCTTTTTGCTCGTTGCTTAATCTTTTATAGCTGTTTGGCGACAGCGTGAATACCGCCAGTCGAATGGAGTCCAATGGAACGCCAGGGCGCATTCAAGTGTCGGAAAGTACCGCGCAAAAGCTCATGGAAGCCGGAAAAGCCAACTGGTTGACCAAGAGGGAAGAAATGATTGAAGCCAAGGGCAAGGGATTGATCCAAACATGGTGGGCCGAACCCACTGTCGCTGCGTCGGAGAGTGCTCGCTCCGCCATGTCGTTTGGTACCGGTACTTCTGTGGATACCTCCGAAGCCTCCGAAGCGGATGCTCATCATTCCGTAGATATCTGAACATTTCGCGTTTTAGTAAGTATGTTTGAAGGCTGGTGCAACTTCCTGTAGGAACATCATTCAAAACGAAGATGCCAAACCAGATTACAAAATCGACGGCGTCAGGAGGATGAGTACTATTCGAATGAGGCCACACTCAGAGCACGCAGCTACTCTTGTGATGTTCCATGATCCATGATTCCATTCAGATAATCAATTCTTTGTAAATAGATTTTCACTATAGCTAGCTAGTACCCCTCTCTCTATATCATAGTTACGGTAATCGTAGCCAGCTATGACGGAACAAAGGAGTTGTTTTTGTTGAGGGCCAAGGCTTCAGGTTAAGATGGTTGAGAGTGAAAGAAGTGGTGCCACACGACGCCAAAGAGCGTGTTGCAGATTGCCCCCAGTCCTTTTTCCAGAAGAAACCCGGAGCTAGCTAGCTACTGGAGCTGGCTAGACTACGGTACCGTACTGACTCAGGATTTCTAATCCGCTCTCCTGGCTTACAGATACCGGTACGCATCACAGCTACAATAGTCATTTAAATCTTTGCTACGACTGGTAACCTTCTTGTTTTATCAATTGATAATCCATTTTGCCCTCTTTGAGTCCCCGTGGTCATCATTCCAACAAAGGTTTTATGCTTCGCTACGGAAACTGTCTCACATACCGTTACCAAACAGTACTCCTCGTAAGTACGTAATAAATAGCCATTGAGCCATTGAGCTCAAGCGTTATGTCTTGCCTTCAAGTAAACAGCGCAGCTGTATTTACTTGTCACACTTACTTATTACGATATTTATTTGGCAATTGGGAAGCATATATGCACATGTGCACTCAATACCTTAATTTAAGAAAACACAGTACCTTGCACCAGTACAGTAGAAGAAGAAAGTGAGCAAAGAGATTCAGATAGTCTACCTAGATCATAGATCTGCTATCCACCCTGTAGTCTATTTCCCATCGACTATATAAGAAATAACCCCAGAACTCACACCACGTACATGGAGTAAGAGAGAGATGGTACCGTACCTTCATTGCACTGGTGCCTTTGATTGCTAAGAAAGTAAAACTGCCAGCAAGCAGCACCTACCGTATAGAGTCTCAGTAATCTCTTCCAGATTATTTCACCTACTAGTAGACAGCTGAAGCTTGGTGTCTTCTTTTCCCGGGGCTTTCAGAGTACCGGTAGAAAGAAAGCAAATAAGAGGACAGGCAGAATTGAGACAGTCTAGGCCTTGTCAACATGAGTGCCCAAACTTCTGGGAGGAGGTTGTTCCAGACCTTCGATAACATACATAAGCAATTCTTATGCAGAATCTAGCTAGCTGCAGCGTTAGCAACTATCTGAGGGTCCAAACAGAGGAAAGAAACTAGATTGGGTTCTTATGAGTGAGTTTATAAGCTAAACATGAAGCCTAATAGTTAAATCCTGTGTTTCCGGAAACTATTTACGCAGGCAACACGAGAGACAGAAAGTGTTCGGATCGTAATTAAAAGTTACATAAGTCAGTCATCATGTAAAATGTCCACGACACACTGTAAATTCTACTGTTGTTACGTACCGGTACGACTGATTGGCTTTAGCACAAGAGGTATTATTAATAGCTTAGGTAATAAATCTGGCGATAACCAAAATTTCGTACCAGTGCGTGCCAGTACAAACCTTACAGTAAAGTGTACAGTAGCAATGTATGGTGAACTGAGTTGAAGGCTTTCCGAGTGACCCGAAGTGTGAGGTCTTCTCTTGCGCTCAAAGAGTTTTTGTTGTGGCTGTGGCGAGGCCTGGCATAACAGAACATAACCAAACTTACCCAACCACCACCTATCCCATTATCCATCTATCTGCTACCATTATCTATCTCGATTGGTACGGTATAGGTGATTATCTTACTCACGGCTCCATTATCTAGCTAGCTACCCAGCTCCTACCGTACGGTATTATCTATTCTATTGGGTATACTACCCCAATAGTTATCTCAAGATGGTGAAGAAGGACAAGACGGTGAAGAAGCACGTCGGCTTTGCCGACATGGAGGATTCGTTTGCGGCGTACAGCTTTGCGGACGAGCCGTCTCCCACGACAACGACCAACAGCAACAGCAACGACCAGAATACTACTACTAGTGCTTTGCGCAATAATAATAGCAATAGTATGGACAACCTGAGCAGTCGGAACAACCCGAGAATGGACATGTCCCTGAGTCAGGACACCGCCAACGACGATATGGACGGAACGCTGCATTTAGAAGATGCCTTTCGCAAAACCTCCACCCACAGCACTAGCAACCCTGCCCGCATGAGTTTTCGTGGTCTGGATGATATCGACGACAGTGACGGTGCATCGATGAGTACCAACAGCGATATTATCAATCAGCATCGTGCCAAAATCGAAGGTGCCGGGGTTGACCAGACGGTGGCAACGATTGAAACAAAGGTGGTACGATGGCTCCGCATGGCCATTTGGTTGGGCTTGGTCGTCACGACAGGTGCCGTCTGTGCGTTAGTCTATTGGTTTGCCAATCAATTGGAACACGAAAATTTCGAAGAACATTTTGAAGATATGGCGCATCAATTCGTTCGCGGTGTGCAAGCCAATCTCTATCGACAATTGCAAGTGGCCGATTTAATGGCTACCGTCTTTACCAGTGTGGCTTTGGAAACCAATCAAGTCTGGCCCTTCTTTGTGGTGCAAAATTACGAAGCCACGGCCACGGCGGCACGATCCGTAGTGGGAGCGCCTTTCTTGGGTGTCCATCCACTCGTCACCAACGAGTTGCGTGTGCCGTACGAACAATTCACCCAGGACAGCGACAATATTCAATGGATCAATGCCTCACTCGACTACCAACAAGCCTTTCTACAGAACTACCAACGGAGTACGGCCGATACCACAACTACCACAAGAAGAAATCTACTCACTCAATTCGATATTGCCTTTGATGAACCTGATCAAGCGGTACCACCACCACAAGCACCCTTGATCAATCGTCAAGCCAGTTTCGGCGACAACAATAGCACTCCTGCTCTTCCTACTTCTACCTTTTCTCCCTTCAGTGATACCAGTGCTAGCAGTAGTAGTGGTGTCACGATTACCACCACCGATCTTCCCAACTTTTGGAATGGTATTTACGGAACAAATCCACAAATTTTCCGATTGGCAGCACCGGGAGAAACCAACGACACGCAACATGTCTACAATGAAATCGCGTACATGAACGAAAACACACGAGCGCAAGGACCGCCATTTTACCCCATTTGGCAAACCTCGCCCGTCACTCCCAACAACCAAGAAAGTGTCTTGAAAGGGATCAATTACAATATCGGGGACCAAGCACTCCCGCCAACGTGGTTTCGAGAACCTTTTCAAATTGTGCAAGAACAACAACAAGCCGTATTGGGGTATGCCGTGCATTCCAAGAATATTCCAACGGCGGCAACGGCCACCAACAACAACAACGACAACAATTCGACTACCCAAAACGACAACGACAACATGAACAGTCCCATGGCATCCCTCTTTTATCCCGTCTTTGATACACTCCTTTCCACAACTACCACCAACTCCAACAACGCTCGCAAAGTCGTGGCCGTCATGGAAACGGAAATTCTATTCCAACACTTCTTCTCCTACATTCTATCTCCCGATCACAACGACGACAATGCTAATACCATACTTGCCGTTGTTTCCAATGACTGCCAAGATGGCCAATCCTATTCCTTCCAAATACAATCTGAAATTGCCACTTATGTCGGACCCAACGATTCCCATCAGCCCGAATTTGACGACACTAGGGTATCCACCACACTCACGACCACCATGAATGTCGGAACGGTCTACAATGGCGTACCGCTCAACACCACATATTGTCCTTGGCAATTAAACGTATACGCCACGGAAGAAATGGAAAGTGTATACGTGACCAATCAACCCATCTATTACATGCTCACCGTCATGGGAGTATTCATATGGACCTGCGCCATCTTTTTGGTATACGATTGGCTCGTCGAACGACGACAAAAAAAGGTCATGAAAGCCGCCAAACGCAGTGATGCCATTGTCTCCCAACTCTTCCCCAATGGATTTCGGGATGCCCTCTACAATGCCGATCAGGAACTCGATAGTCAGGATTTTTCACCCAAACAGGCCAAAGAATCGGCGCCCACACCTTCGACCAGTAGTCCGGGCAATGGCAAAGGCGCGGACGGAGCCTTTCACGCCGACATTTTGGAAACGTTCAAACAATCCGTGGGAGTCGATCATCACGGAGAAACCAATCAACCCATGGCACGGCTGTATCCCAGTTGTACCGTCTTTTTTGCCGATATTGCCGGGTTCACCGCATGGAGTTCGGCACGGAGTCCCGTGCAAGTCTTTGAATTGCTCGAAACACTCTACGGGGCGTTTGATAAGGTGCGTTTTACAAAAAATGAAACACAAAACACAAAAAGGGCAACAACAACCCTGCGAATGCATGTATGTGCTTGATTTATGTTTACTTGGCTCACACACGAGACTGTTCTGGTATTGTAGATGGCCCGAAGACGTCGCGTGTTCAAAATTGAGACGATTGGAGATTGGTAAGCCAAATAGCTGGGAAAAGGAAACGTATTGGGAGATTGAGTCATCCAGTCAGCCCGGCCAATGCAGAATCATTCTGACAAAACTTCCACTCTCTCCCATGTACTTACGATCCACAGCTACGTTGCTGTCACAGGTACGTAATACCATCAATAGTTGCAAATGCAACATGATCAATGAATGGAGCCTAACACGCACTCTTGTCAATCTCTTTCAATCCAGGTCTGCCACAACCGCAACCCAATCATGTTCTCTTGATGGTCAAGTTTGCTCGGGATATTCTTGAGAAGTTGCCCCCCATTTTGAAGAAGTTGGCAATCACTCTAGGTCCAGACACCAAAAACTTGGCTATGCGTGTGGGGTTGCATTCCGTAAGTGTCATGATTGCTTCTTTGCCCTTCCACCGCTTAGTAACCAATGACTCACTTGCTCGGCTTCTTTCGAATATATCTACTGCCACGACAAACTTTAGGGTCCTGTCACTGCTGGTAAGAATTGCCTCGTTCTCTTGTAACGAACTTTCTTATTCCACCATGTGCCTAACCAGCCTCTGCTTCCTTACTTTGTCAGGTGTACTTCGTGGCGAGAAAGCCAGATTTCAGCTCTTTGGAGATACCGGTGCGTGAACCTGGGCATCTATCTGAGAATGCGAGTGGCGCATTGGAGTCTCACATGTCTTGTTCATGCCAACTTCATCATGTTCCAGTCAACACGGCTGCCAGAATGGAATCCAATGGAAAGAAAGAGTGCATTCACTGTTCCCAGGAGACGGCTGATATCCTGTACGAAAAAGGGAAAGGCCACTGGGTTCATCCTCGGGACGAGCGAATTGTAAGATCATCATTGAAAATGGTTAGTCTGGGACTTATGCGAATGTCTTCTCACATTTGCTTGCAACTTGGTGGCTGCCCATAGGTCGCAAAAGGCAAAGGAGAGCTTCAAACGTATTGGATCCTTCCAGGGGGTGGAGAATCTTCCATGTTTGACCAATCTGCTATGTTTGACTTTGAAGAAGAGGACGAGGAAGAGGAAGAAGAGAAATTTCACAAGGAGACTGCCGCAATAGAAGCAGCACTCAAGGGCTTCCCTGGTACGGACGAGGAAAGGGAAAACAAGGTGAAATGGGCGCAGAAAAACGACAGTAGCATCGGGTGGATCGTAGATTTGCTGTTTGCTGAAGTGAAAGGTATTGCCTGGGAACGCAAACAACTTACCGAGTACGATTCAGATGTTGATCACTGGGGCAAGAACAGCCCTGAGGGCAGGCCGGTCAAATGGGATTACAGGTTGTGCAACGCAATCTTTGAGCTGGCCGATAGCACCGGACAAAGGGGTACTAAATCTTGGACGGTGGCAAAGGATAAGGTCAAAGACGAGCTCAAATTGTTTGTTTTACTGCTGGCATTCCAGTACAAGGAGGATGCACCCTTTCACAATCTGGAGCATGCCTGCCAAGCACTCATGGCAGTGGAGAAAATGCTGAAACAATTCGCAATCCTTCTTCAAAGGATGGGACAACGACAACTGAATTCATGGGTGAGGTTCACATTGTACTTGGCTGCCATCATGGGTGACGTTACCGGGCTTCAAGAGGTGTGCTCTGGCGCAGATCTGGGCCCAAAGGAAACTGCAGCGTCCAAGCGCCACAAGGAATTCCAGAATTCTTTCAAGACACTGTGGGGCCTCATCATGGACAAACGACTCTCCGCACTTCGCCTTGCCATTTGTGTCAACCAGGAGGAGCAAGAGTACTTCACACAGCTCTTGGTCAACCTGGTGTATGCTACAGATATTTCCGAAGGCGCCAACTCGGTAGAACGCGAGAAGCGATGGGAAGCGGCGTTTAGCATCCAAGAAGAGTCGACACTGATAATCCGCTTGCAAGCTCCTACAACTTTGGAGCACATGAGTCTTGCCGCCCAATGGACGCACACCATGCAACTTTGGGAGACGTATAAGAAATGGAACAGGTGAGTTTTGCTGCTGGCCCAAAGAAACAGTGTCACGGAATGGCAACGACAGTTTGTTTCTTCAACAATCCAAGATTTGTTGTTCTCTCACCAACCAAACTCTTGATTGATTCTCGTGTATTTATGTATTTCACAGTTTACTGTTTCAACACCGCTGTGATGAATTTGAAAACGACATTATTTCGTCCGACCCAGCGCTGGAATGGTTCCAGCAAGAGTTGGTAATGTTTGAAAAGGTCGTGATTCCTCTCTTGGAAAAGTTGCAGGAACCAACGGCATTGGGGCCCACCGGTAGCGAGCTGTTAAAATACGCTGCCCAAAACCACAGATCGTGGAGCCGACTGTTCCTGTCGAGAACCTAGTAGAAATGAAATGGGGTCCCACAAACACACACACAAACAGCACAATCTACTTTTTTGAACGAGACGAGATCCTCTTGTCTCCCGCTTCTAGCATGAAGTGCATGTTTTCTATGTTGAGTTTTGACGGAATTGCGTTTTGTTCTGACGCATCCTGTACAGTCTCGATAATTTGTTTCCCTACTAGAGCTACACTATGTTTACTAAAATATGCAACACTATATCTTTCGGGCAAAGCAGTACAATGTTCATGGCCACATACTATAGTAGCCGGTGACGGTTTCAGGAGTGCCATGTCACAAAGTTCGACTGTGCTCTATGTTGTTGTTGGAGGTACCGTAGCTGCGGCTGCAATAAAGGGACTAATGACGGTCCCCGGCGGAAACATACTGTTGCCTCCTTCTCCGCCCAGCAAGGGATTCAGAGTATCCACCTTGCTCTTGGGGACTTGAATGGCAGGAGAGACCCACGTACCACAAGAACACTGGGCACCCGCCCAATGCCAGGTTCCCACTTTGGTTTGGCATTTGGGACAATGCAATCGTCCTTCCACGTCAGCCATGTCTCCCGCCCAGGGACACCCACCGTCGGTCAAAAAGTACGATTGGCACGACGATGCCTGTTGTTTTTTGGTGTACTGACGAAACTTGTGTTTGGCAGGATCGTGAGTCTCCAAATCGGCTTGGGCAAACAGCACCGTTCGGCATACCCGACACGCAAAACGAGGTTTGGTTTCGTCCATTATGATTGGCGCCTGTTGTGCTGCTTGTAATAATTGTTGTCGTGTTTCCTCCTCGCGACGCAATTCTTCTTCTTGTCGTTGTCGTTCTTGTTTCAACTCTTGTTCCCGTTCGTCTCGTTCCTGATCGAGTATGGCTTGAATCAAATCATTGTGGGCATACTTGTATGCAAATTTTGCCATTTTGGCCGGTCCCATGGTCTGTTGCAACGCCATTTCTTCCTTTTCCTCGGGCGATAATGCCCGGAAGGCTGCCGTCTCTTCCTTCATGGATGGAAAGGGTGGAGACGGCTGCACTACTTTCAGAGGCAGTCGGCTTCGTAAGGTTTGAAAAAAGGTTTGTAGTTTGTCGATATCGTCCGAGTCTTCAATGCCCATCCCCACGGCGGCTCCTAAAATGCCCAGGTACGATGATTGCCGGGTGCTCTTCTTCTTCTTGGTCTCGTCAATATTATCATTTTCGGGTGCAGCCGGCTCTTGATCGAAAAAGGGCGCCAAACTGGATCCCACTTTGTCGGCACCATCGGATCCATGATAGTTCACACTCGTCAGGTAGCGAATTGGCTTGCCGTGTTCATCTTCGTACGAATCAAAGGCGGCCACACAGGGGAGATATTCCACCGAAATACTGGACGACGATTCTTCGTGTTGTTGTGGTTCTTGTTCGAGGGGTAGCAACAGAGACATGACCTTGGCCAGACGGGGTTTGCTAGACCCAATCACCATGACGCGACACGTTCGTTTCTCTTGTTCTGCCATCGTTGCGTATCAAATCGTACTAGACTATCGTTTCTCTCTGAATTAATTCTATGTACTGGAATGAGGTTGGTGTTACAGTTGGTTACGAGTACATGAGATGGCGAAGCGAGAAAGGTTTGGTTGGCTTGGGTTCGCCTTCGGCCAAAATGAATGGAGGCGACAAGGCACGTCTCAAACTGATGCCACAAATTGCATGTGGAAGCATTTTGGCTGGCTAATTTGGATCTCCAAAAGCGAAGTGTCCCAAGCGAAGTCTGGTTTGACGGGTTCTTGAACCGGGCTACGGGTGGCCTCTCAAGAAGGAAGATAGCGGGATTCTCAGACCTGCCTACACAACAACAACAGCAAACGAGCTTCTCTTTGATACCCAAGATGATGAAGCTTGGATCTTCCTCGTGGCTACTAGTACTCTCCTTCCTTGACATTGTCCATGCTGCAGGCAATGAAGAGGATGTCTTGGTTGAAACAGCAGGAATCACAACTGGGGATACTGTGGAAAGAGTTGCCTATCAGTGTACCTTCCGGAATCTTTGGACAGAAGCAAGGCAGCCAGTAAACTTTCCCTCCGAGCTAGGACGATGGGCTGGACCTATCCTATGGACCCATACCTTGCAGTTCCAGCCATGGGTACACAGCAGGGGTGTCACCCGGGGAGTGGAAAAGTTGGCAGAGGTAAGTTGATACAGCGCTGCTACTCATTCAAGCTGGCAGTTCTTTGAAAAGTCTCTGTTTCTATGCTAACTGTTCTTTATGCTCCAGGATGGCTTCACTGATGTACTGGTTCAAGAAATGATGCAGCAAGGTGCCCAAGTCAAGGACTATCAGGAATATGAGCAAGCTCAGTTCTTTGTCAGCCAAACCAACTTTGTTCATATTCCACCCATAGAGGCAGATTTTACGTACCCCTACCTTTCCATGATGGCCGGCATGCAGCCCAGTCCAGATTGGTACACTGGATTTTACAGCTATTGGCTCATTGATGAGTACTCTCGCACTTGGTATGATCACATCAAAATTCAAGTCAAGCCATGGGATGCAGGTACAGATGCTGGTCAAACCTACACTGCTTTGGAGAGTGACCTGGATCCGCCCTTGAATGCGGAACGCTTCATACCTAGAAATGCTCCTCCAGGTGGGGAATTGCTGGATCCCACAGGAGAAACCGTTCCCAATGTGGGAGAACTGGAGTGCTTTTTAGTTGTGGGCGAGCAAGATTTGATCTTGCCAGACTGTGATTGGTTTGCCAATCCCTGCTGCAACGAAACTGACACAGTATCCTGTGGAGCTACCTTGCCAAATGGGGCCCCTCCACAGATTTCACCGGAGTATGCACAAGTCTTGGATGGTGGGACTACCGTGGACGATTCACTGACGACAGCCCAAAAATTGAGTCGTTTGGAAGAAATTGCAGGAGAAATGCGTCAATTGGCAGATGAGGTGGATGCATTGGTGCAAGGGCTTCGTGAGGATGATGGAGAAGGAACAACAGGATCATCCATTACAAGGAGAAGAGGAAGAAGCATGACGAAGATCTTTGAGGTTGGAAAGTGGACATGTATGTTTCGATGATTTAATTTCATGGTAGTCTACCTGGTACATGTGGTGCAGACATAGTCGGCAGAGAATTCTCATTGCACAGGACAAGTGCTCAGTGTATTTCAATGAATGGGTTAAAGAGCTCCTTAAACTAAAATCAATGGCTGCAGTTGGTTGCACCTACCGGTACGGTTCCTTTCTCTCAAAGCAAAATGCACCTCGGAGGCACACCCTCTCTACTGGTACGGTACCGGTATGCTGCCAGAACGATCAAACCACAGCGGTGTTTTTGAGACTGGTCCTGCAAGTGTTGGGCCCTCTCATACGGGGCAACGAAGCAGGCACAGTGCTTCGATTCTAGAAGGAGTCCACCGTATGGGTAGCTACCGCTACCGTTCATGGCATCTGGTTCCAATGCTTTGACTGGAATACTCATTTTTCCAGTTCTTGAAGTCCATTTTCAACTCTGTTTCGTCAATTTAACAAACGGTCTGGTGGATCTTCTTTCAATCAAAAATCCGAAGTTCCGATGCAACATCCACCTTGTTCCCGAGATTCTCTCTGCACCCCCTTGCTACAGTAGCTGCTCAGTAGAGGCTATCTCAAGAGACTCGCTACCAGTGCAGTTTGGTAAGAAGGAGAGTATTCCTTCATGCCTCACCTTCATGGAAAGATCTGTTTTAGAAGGTTTTGTTTTCTCCGAGCAGCATCCTCGGGACACAACTACCGATACAGGACTTTCCCCAAAACACATCGCAGTATGACATCTCTGCCATCATCTTCCCAAGATCTCGTTGTCTTGACTCCATCGTCGCCATCAGAGTTTGCTAGTGCCATTACCGGTCGATGCTACAATGCCAAACGTCCTGCACACGACTGTTACCCAGATGTCATTTTCCAAGCCAAATCCGTAGCGGCCGTGCAAACAGCTGTCGGTATTGTGTTGACCGAAAGTTAAGAATTTGCGTTCGATCGGGAGGACACAACTGGGAAGGTTCCTGGTTACAGGGATCGGGAACGGCTCTACTAGATGTTGGTGATTTGAATTCCATCGAGCTGCACCAGGCAGATAAATCCGTCCATGTGGGGCCGGGTGCCACGGGCAGTGCTATTGTCCAAGCTTTGGCTCCTCACGACTTGTTCTTTCCTGGTGGCCATTGCGATGGAGTGGCCATTGGTGGATTTCTCTTGGGTGGTGGCTATGGAATTGGGTTTCCCAAATACGGCATGGGATCCACGTGGGTATCGCAGGCCCGTGTCGTTTTGCCCGATGGAAGTGTCGTCACGGCATCCTCCTCCCATGAGCAAAATGATCCCCAACAAGCCGCCATTTTGCATCTCATTCGAGGTGCCTACACCGCGTTTCCAGGTGTGATTACCAGTTATACACTGGGACCCTCGCTGCCTACAAAACCCAAAGGAGTCATGAGTGGCACTCTGTTTTACAAACTCACCGACTGGCCCAAGGCATTCGACTTGGCCAAAACAATCCACAAGGATGGCAATGATGCGATTGAAATCACGGGTGTCATGACCTATGCACCTCCAGCTGTCCAAGATGCTACTGGAGAGTCCATGGTCACCCTGTTGGGACTCATGATTTGGGGTGATACACCAGAGGAAAGTTGGGAGTTGTGGAAACGATACAGTAGCACTGCAGAAGGATTGCTGGTCCCACCGGACGAAATGCCGACACAACTAGAGGCGGAAAACGTACCTGCATTCTTCAAAGACTTGTATCCCTCCAGCACGCGATATCAAACGCAAGTCTTTATGGGTGACAAGGCCTTTGAAACTCTGCAAGGAACAGAGGAAATGGAATCTCTGATGCAACCATTGGTGGACATGTGGATGTCCGAGGCTGACAAACCGCCAGCACCATCCCATACGTTGCTGTGTGTGTTCATCCCGACCTCAAATCCAAGGTTCACGGCAACCAGGAATTGGCGTTGGGGTACACTCCCGACATGGGGATTCAAACCTACGCCATGTACACGGATGCTGGCCAAGACGACACAATCAAGGATCAACTCGACAAGGCACATGCCAAGTTTGTGGAATGCGATAAGTTTCACACATCCTTGGTAGAAGGAGAAACAAAGCGGCATGGCTATGAAAGTGGTTTTGCTTGCCATGAGGCCTTTGCCAAGACACAACAGTACATACAATTGCTCGACCCTGATGGAGTGTTTGCTGGATGCCCCAAGTAGCAACAGACGGTTATGGTGCAAAGCTATAGGTACTAGCAAACAAACGCTCTTCCTTTTTAACCCATGTTCGAGCTATTTCGTTACATAATAAGCTACATTTGTGATCCATCGTCCATAGTGTAGTTGATCCATTGTGGGCAACACGGACATATCTGTTTTGGATTTGTTACTGACGTGGGTGGCGTTTTCCCATCCTCATATTTCGCCACGCCATCTTGGATAGTAAGCAATAGTCAAGTGCACGTGGATTTCTGTCCCTCTCCATGTCGTTGATTGACGTTCATCTGCCATCCATCCAATCAATCTACCAATCAGTCAGTGGATTGTTGTGATTAGGCAGTCTTTGTCTTGTTGGCACGAACCGAAAGGCCGGTAGCTTTGAAGAAGGCATAGACAGCACCCAATGCCACCACAGCGGCAGGAGCCAAGGAAGCACCAAATGTGTTTTCCAAAGTCATGCTAAGTCCAAGAACGAAAAAGGAAAGAGCCAAGAGGAACCATTGTGCAACAACATTTTGGCTTTCCGCCCATTCTTTGAATGCAATGCCACTGGCCACGTAGTGTGGCATACCATGTTCATTGTAACTCTGGCAAAGACTGCTGCTGATGCCCAAACACATCAAACGGAAAGGAGACATGGCAATATGAACAAAGCTGTGTTGCGACATGTTGGTGTGATGATGACCACTTGGACATTTTCTGCCTTGTTTGCAAAGAAATGTAAGATGAAGCAACAATGCCATCCACCAAGTTTCCACCTGTGTACAGGGAAGCATAAAGACCTTCAGTTGGATAGTGTGACTTGAGCGACCTTGCAGAGAGAGAGACATCCTCCATCTCTCTCTTTTTTTTTTTT